GGGGTCCCAGAGGTTTCAGCTTTGACTGCCAGCTTTGACTCTGATACAGAAAAAACTAACCTAGATGCTAAGCAAAGCAAGAGAGAACATAGAAGTGTGTGTGTGGGGCTGGGAGGGGTGGGGTTGGGGAGAACGTGACACACAGTTTGTCCTCCATAGCGTGGCAGTTATAAGGGAGAAGGATCAGTGGCTGCACCCCCTGGTTTGGGAGTGGTTGCCCCACGTACCTCAGGCAATGGTAACATCTTCCCCTACCTTCCTGAACTTGTATGGGAGGATGATTTGGTTTTTTTTTGCCTGGTAATCGGGAAATCTTAGTTAATATTCCATATTTGACCCTTCTGACAGGTCATTTATTCTCTGAAAGCTTTAGTTTCTCTTTCCATGGATTTCTAATGCCTAAATACCAAATACTTCGTTTCTGAGCAATTGAGGTTCTCAACAACCTAGGTATGTGCGTGAAAGTCACACAGGTGACAGTCTGTGGTAGTCAAGGACCGATAACCATGTGGATGTCCCAGGCAGGCCAGAGTTGGGAGCTCCTTTAAAGCAATGCTCTCTATCTACTTGTTCAACATTTCTTTGATAGGAACAAAGAGAAAATAATTTCTATAGTGATCAAAATAAGGAATTTGTTCTAGTATGTTCAAAATAAAATTTATACCACACACTGAATGACATGACATTTAAACTTATTTTAGAATTATTTTTCATTTAGCTTAAAAAATCAACAATAGCTAGGTAGTATTAGTTATCCACACTGAACTAAACATGAATATAGCCAGAAAGTCTTTCAAATGGTGTTTACAAATTCTTTTCTGGCTGGCCAAAATGTCCTCACTTTTTTGGAATTTCTGTTTCCTAGTTTTAGGTGTTTTTTGTTTTTTTTAATTTTCCAAGGCAGACATTTTCCTGGGAGCTTATTTAATTAATGCAATAGAATACAGTTTCGTGCAGTAAACAGTACTGTACTGTGCTTTATTCAGCTTCTGAATTTTAGCTGAAGAAGACAGCAAATTTGAGGAGACTGTCAGCTGGCTGATCTCAGGGCTGGCTACGTTGCCTGTAATTACGTTGCAAAAATATCCTCAGAGATCAGCGGGCATGGGGGAGGCATGTTTTTAAATGTCTCCTGGAAGATACTATGTCAGTAGACAATGAACATGTTGCCGTAATTCAAGGTGTCTCATGAACAAAACCAAGAGGCACCATGTTTCTGATCATTTCAGGAGTGTTTTTGTGTTCCCAGGGCAACTTGGTCAGCTGGTTCATTGGGCTTGAGGCATGGAGGGAAGGCCCCAGGCTGAGAGAAACCTGGGTGTGAATACAGGTCCTGGGGCAAGACATTTAACTCCTCTGAGCCTCAGTATCTCCCTCATAAAATGGCGATAATATCTGCTTTGCAGTTACTAGAGATACTTTTGAAGTTGTAAATGAGGCTATTATTTAAAAGAATACTGTACAGTATACCGTAATACACTGTGTATTAAAACATTGTATAAATAAAAATATTATACAAATAATAACCAACATACAATTGTCCTCTTTCCATTAACCCTTAGTAGCCTTATTCATATTGCTGCTTTAAAGAGTTAGGACTGGAGCTCAGGCTGGTTATAAAATGCCGATTTCTTAAATGTCATCAAAAATAAGGAGAGGGAGTAACTATGTAAAGTAATGGAAGTGTTAATTAACTCGATGGGGGAATCCTTTCACAATGTCTATCAAATCATCACCTTATACACTTTAAATATGTTGTAATTTTATTTGTCAATTATACCTCAATAAAGCTGGGAAAAAAGGCTGACTACTGAGATGGCTAACGCTCAGCATTCAGTATATACTATACTAGAAGCTGGGAGGGGTGGGGTTGGGGAGAACGTGACACACAGTCTGTCCTCCATAGCGTGGCAGTTATAAGGGAGAAGGATCAGTGGCTGCACCCCCTGGTTTGGGAGTGGTTGCCCCACGTACCTCAGGCAATGGTAACATCTTCCCCTACCTTCCTGAACTTGTATGGGAGGATGATTTGGTTTTTTTTTGCCTGGTAATCGGGAAATCTTAGTTAATATTCCATATTTGACCCTTCTGACAGGTCATTTATTCTCTGAAAGCTTTAGTTTCTCTTTCCATGGATTTCTAACGCCTAAATACCAAATACTTCGTTTCTGAGCAATTGAGGTTCTCAACAACTTAGGTATGTGCGTGAAAGTCACACAGGTGACAGTCTGTGGTAGTCAAGGACCGATAACCATGTGGATGTCCCAGGCAGGCCAGAGTTGGGAGCTCCTTTAAAGCAATGCTCTCTACTTGTTCAACATTTCTTTGATAGGAACAAAGAGAAAATAATTTCTATAGTGATCAAAATAAGGAATTTGTTCTAGTATGTTCAAAATAAGGAATTTATACCACACACTGAATGACATGACATTTAAACTTATTTTAGAATTATTTTTCATTTAGCTTAAAAAATCAACAATAGCTAGGTAGTATTAGTTATCCACACTGAACTAAACATGAATATAGCCAGAAAGTCTTTCAAATGGTGTTTACAAATACTTTTCTGTCTGGCCAAACTGTCCTCACTTTTTTGGAATTTCTGTTTCCTAGTTTTAGGTGTTTTTTGTTTTTTTTAATTTTCCAAGGCAGACATTTTCCTGGGAGCTTATTTAATTAATGCAATAGAATACAGTTTCGTGCAGTAAACAGTACTGTACTGTGCTTTATTCAGCTTCTGAATTTTAGCTGAAGAAGACAGCAAATTTGAGGAGACTGTCAGCTGGCTGATCTCAGGGCTGGCTACGTTGCCTGTAATTACGTTGCAAAAATATCCTCAGAGATCAGCGGGCATGGGGGAGGCATGTTTTTAAATGTCTCCTGGAAGATACTATGTCAGTAGACAATGAACATGTTGCCGTAATTCAAGGTGTCTCATGAACAAAACCAAGAGGCACCATGTTTCTGATCATTTCAGGAGTGTTTTTGTGTTCCCAGGGCAACTTGGTCAGCTGGTTCATTGGGCTTGAGGCATGGAGGGAAGGCCCCAGGCTGAGAGAAACCTGGGTGTGAATACAGGTCCTGGGGCAAGACATTTAACTCCTCTGAGCCTCAGTATCTCCCTCATAAAATGGCGATAATATCTGCTTTGCAGTTACTAGAGATACTTTTGAAGTTGTAAATGAGGCTATTATTTAAAAGAATACTGTACAGTATACCGTAATACACTGTGTATTAAAACATTGTATAAATAAAAATATTATACAAATAATAACCAACATACAATTGTCCTCTTTCCATTAACCCTTAGTAGCCTTATTCATATTGCTGCTTTAAAGAGTTAGGACTGGAGCTCAGGCTGGTTATAAAATGCCGATTTCTTAAATGTCATCAAAAATAAGGAGAGGGAGTAACTATGTAAAGTAATGGAAGTGTTAATTAACTCGATGGGGGAATCCTTTCACAATGTCTATCAAATCATCACCTTATACACTTTAAATATGTTGTAATTTTATTTGTCAATTATACCTCAATAAAGCTGGGAAAAAAGGCTGACTACTGAGATGGCTAACGCTCAGCATTCAGTATATACTATACTAGAAGCCCAGCGCGCAAAATCGCGCGGGCCCCACCCACCTGCCCACCGCCCCGCCGCATGGGCGAAGCCCCGCCCACCCGCTCTGGTCTTTAGTGGTTATGGTGTTAGAGCCACAGGCCTTTTATAATATAGATAATACTGCCACCTCCTGTGGGGACGTGTCCTGGGTCCAGCGGTTCCAGCATAATCTTTGTAGTCAGACAGCCTGGGTGGGGCTCCCCTGTGACTCTGCTTTGTCACAAACATGTGTATCTGCCTCAGAAGATGTGGTGTCGCCTCTGTCCTCCAGACTCCAGTGACACGGAACTGCTTGTAGTTTCCAAAAAAACCAGGCTCACTCCCTGCCTATTGTTCCCCTACAGGTGGCTCTTTCTTTACCCACTTTCCAACTCCTGGTTCTCCAGGCTTCCTCCAAGAGTTCCCTGATCCTCCAGACCTGGCTGAGTGTCCTTTCCACCTGCCTGCTCCTGTAGCCACCTTCGATCGACACCTATGGTCACTGTGCTGACATTGCCTAGTCCTTGGCCTCCCTCCCCCTTCACCATTGACTAGCATTTCTGGGTTTCCTATGTGCTGGGCATTCTTAGTATTTTATGTGTATTAGCTCATTGACGTCTCCTAATAATCCGAGGAAATAGGTTTTAGTACAGATGGGGACACTGAAGTTCAGAGAGGGCAAATAACTTGCCCGAGCTCACACAAACACAAACACAAGAGCTGGGATTTGAACCAAGGCCTGACTCCAAACCCTTTGCAGTCCACTGTGAGTTTTCTAAGGGCTTACAGTGAAGGCATATAGTAAATATTCAACAGGTAACAGCTATTATTATTTTGACCCAACCAAATGGTACCTCTGCAGGAAGGGATCTTAACCTCTTGGCACAATACTGCAACCAAGGCCACCGCACACCTGTGTTCTCCACCCCACAGTCACCACCTTGAATAGACCATGTGTGTTTTCAATAAATGACTGATGTGTGTTTTCTATCACACATCTCTGTATTTCAGAGATGTTTCTTTTTCTGTTAATCCTCACCCGAAGATATTTTTCCATCGATTTTTAGAGAGAGTGGAAGAGAGTGAAGGGAGGGGAAGAGGGAGGAGGAGAAACATCCGTGTGAGAGACATCGATCGGTTGCCTCCCGCCTGCCCCAACCAGGGCTGGGGATGGAATCTGCAACCCACGTACAAGCCCTTGACCAGGACCCTCCGGTGAGTGGGCCGATGCTCTAACCCCTGAGCAACACCAGCCAGGGCGAGATGCTTCATTTCCTGTCACACTTTGGCCCCTTTCCACGTCTGAGGGAGGTGGGACAACAGAGGGGCCCAAAACAATAGCTGAAGCTGATTTTATTTGTCTTTTCTCTTTTGAAGCTGCTTTTTGACGAGACACACAGGAACCAACCACCTAAATAAACGTCCTCTTTATTTACCAAATATAATTTATCAGTTATGTTGACATCTGTCAAATCAGTTATAGTAACTATAAATAATTCTCTTAAGACACAGTTCTGTAACTTTTTAAGGATACAAGAGTAAACCAATGTCGCTCCTTGCAGCCAGGCCGAAAGTACATGCGGTTTGTGCAATCAGGGAAAATAAATGAATCTCCCATGAAAGCCAACTTCATTTTCGTGCCGTCTCACCCCACAGTCCTCCCTCTGCTCACACACTCAGGACTGGGGGCGCGCCTACCTCCCTGCCTTTTCAGCAAAGAAGCTCCAGAGCCTTCCAGGGCAGCCTGGCCGAGATGAGGAAGGGGTGAGCGACAGGGCAGGGGTGACTGGGGAGCACAGGGCACAGCTTCAGGGGGCAGAGGAGCTGGTTTTGGTGCCTGTACAAGAAGAGTGTGTGCAAATGTGTTTGGAGACGGGGGACAAGATGCAAGGCCTGAGGAGCAGAGACAAGCCCAGGCTGGTGTTAATGAACTCTGTTGGACACAATTCCAACTAGACAACCTCTACGATTCCTTCCGATTCTAAGGTTCTAGCTCCACTAGGTGGCCTGGGTGGGAATGGAGGGAGAGAGAAGACAGCGTCTGGAGGTATAGGGCAAGTTCCTGGATAAGGCATGGTGTTGGTAAGAGACAAGGTCATTCCTTCGCCTTTCCCTGGAGGTGGGTCCTTCAGGTGACAGAGGGGAGGGTTTCTGGGAAGGCTGTGGATAGAGAGGCTAGAAAAAAACCTGCATCCACAAGGTCCAGACTTTGTACATGTGTGTGGACAGATTTCCGATCTGTTCAGAGTAACATGTGGGTAAGATAGGGACTCCAGTGTTCTCCCAACCTTGTGCTAGGCAGAGAAAAGTAGAGGCAGCTAGTTGATGTCTAGTCTACTAGCTCTGAATCCTTTTTTTGGGTGGCTGGTGAAGAGAGGTAGAGGGTAGGAAAGGTGAGGAAGGGACATTTAGAGAAATGGACACTGGTTGAGCCACGGGGCTGGGAGCTGTAGCTGGGGTCAGCATTTTACACAGGTGGCATCTAGGAGGGAGATCCAGAGGCAGAACCTGGCGTGGTGATACACATGCAGACACAGCGCGGGAACGAAAGGAGCCCGTGGCCTTTATCTGGGGAATGAGGTGAGGTTGGAGCTGTATTTCCCTTCCCACAGGCTGGTCAGTGCCTGGCACAGTACCTAGCACACAGTAGGCACGCAATCAATACTGCTCAATGGGTGTTTCAGACCATGCCTGCGGCAGCACTCCTCGAGGGAGGCCGTGTACTTGTTGAACGAGTAAATGAATGGATGGTGAGTGTGGGCAGAAGCCAAGCGAGAGGACAGCTGATTGCCACGGGGTGACAGAATGAGGGATTTTACGAAGTGACAGCCTTAAGGTGGCCACGTGACCATGTGTCCTCAGGAGAATCAGCAGCAGCGAGACATCCCTGTGGCCCTCCACCTCCCAACCCTTCTCCACGTACCCATCCCTGCCCCTAATCTTGGAACCCAATCTGGTCAACTCTGGGGGAAGGTAGTGCTTAGAGACAATTAGAGATGAAGGTTGAACAGAGATAAAGAATTGGTCCTCTGGGCCCAGAGAGGATATAGATCTTGGCAAACCTATGGGTGACTATGAATCAACAAGGAACCAGGCCACTGCTCATTTCTTCCTGAATGTGACAATCGATTGCAAAAAGATCACTGGCAGGGGCTGGTGGTGCTTACCAGCCGTTGGGCCAGGGGCACGTGCACAGTCTGAATAGTCAGGCCGCCTTAGTCTCTCAGAGAGAGAAGGGCCCAGGCGGAGAGCAGAGGCTAGGATTATATGGAGCCAAGAGCAGTTGTCTCCTGCCTTGAAGTTGGTCCATTTCTAGAAAAAATGTATACGTGTGAGTGAGGGGAAGGGGGGTGGGGGGATATATTTATCCCTCTGTTCAACCAAAAAAAAAAAAAGAAAGAAAGAAAGAAAGAAAGAAAGAAAAAAACACCAGAGCCAACTCACAAAGGGTTTCTCATTAGGGCCAAAGCTAAGTTTGCCAAAACATGATCCAAGATCCCAGACGAAAACCCTGCCCCAATCCAGCTCACCTGGAGGCACCCACCATGAAATTGCACTTGGTGACTGTCTCAAAAATCTACTTGTACTGCTTGCCTCAGTCCCTCTGTCCTGCCTGAATTTTTGCTGTACAAACTTGGCTCAATGTATAAAAATTCCCATTGAAAATAATGAGAATTCGGTATCAAAGTGAAGTCCTAGAAAGAGGTGGGAGTGTGGAGTACGGTGGGGGGAGGGGAACAAAAGACAAAATCCATAAAGAAAGTGCAGAGGGTGGGGAGAAGGTTGAGTGACCAGGCTAGTCCCCGACGTCCGTGTCTCGGTCCCCAATGAGCCAGAGGACATGGAAGCTGAGGGCTAGGAGCCCAGTGCCCAGCAGGTCCCCCAGAGCTGTCAAGTACGGGATGGAGAAGTTGTCGGGGTCCAGGCCCCGGCCCCACATCCAGTGCACCATCCAGTCAGCGATGTACAGGAGAATCAGCACCTGGGGAGACAGAAGGGTTCGGTCTAGGGCCCTCCCTCTCTCCAGGGGGAGCCAAAGGCCACTGGATCGGACCCATTCATGGCATCACAAGGCCTGGCTCTCCACAGTCCTTGTGCTGGGGCAGTTCATCTCTCCACACGGTGACCTCTCTGTTCTCACCCCACAGGTACCACCTTGAATAGACAACCGGCATACTGTGAGCCCTTTAGAGGGGAAGATGCTCTACTCTCCGGGGTCACCCACATCAGCATTACGTTCTGCTCCCTGACTGAAATCCTACGTGCCACAGGAATTCAGCCCTCTCGCCTCTAATTCTAGGTCACCCTATTCTCGGGTCACTCCAATTCCCGCCATGCTGGCGTCTCCAGGAGCTTGGCAGGGGGCAGGGGCAGGAGTTGGCTTTTCAGAGCGGGATTTCTCCCCGGAGCCGAGTGGAATTAGAACAGTGCTGGAGACGGCTGTCCGCACAGTCGTCTGCGTCACAGCTGATCGTCCCAGGCTGGCTTCCTCCTGACCCTCCCCATTCTGCTGCTGTGGCTCAAAGAACGCAAGTGTGTTTTAATGTTAGTCTTAGCAAAGCAGAATCACGAACAAGTCTGCTAGACAGAAAGCAGACAGTGCACAGCAATTTGAAAGACACTTTGGATTACCTGCCACTCCGATTTTTCTCTGTGCCCTTGCGTTCTCGCCATTACTACAGACAGCTAAGAAGGATCTGGATTAGAAGCCTGCTAGTGGGCCCAGGACCAGCAGCAGCAGCTGGAAGCTTGTTAGAATGCAGTCTCAGCCCCCTGGCCCCTCAATCTCCTAAATCAGAATCTGCATTTAAACAAGATTCACACGCAGGTTTAAGTTGGAAATGCATTTAGATGCGATGGGCAGGCCCACATCTTCTACGTGCTCTGCGCCCTCCCTCACAGGTGGGCTCCCTAAATCACTGCACCTGGCTGAGAATGAAAAGGGTTTTAACGGGAAGGCTCCAGCACAGTCATTGGGGAGGTTTTACCCTTGACTGTACTTTGCAAATGCTGCGGTATGTAAATTCCGCCCTAAGGGGCGCAGATGCAGAAAGCAGAGACTCTCGCAGGATAAAGAAACTAGAATTGATACCTATTTTTAGGCAAACTTGGTTGTTCTCCTGTCTTCTCTCCAGGGGGCCGGTGCTTACAGTTCTAGCACCCTTCACATTCCCCCTCCCCTGCACAGCTGCCCGGTACTCCTGTGGCCCTGGCCCTGGCCCTGACCCTGGGTGAGGGCCAGCCCCTCCCCCCCATAACTTCACGCCCTTTTCAGCAGAGCCCCAAATGAAGAGCGTGGCAGGAGGACTTCACGCTCTGGAATGGAATGGCAGCAGCTGTCCCTACATTCCAGCCCCTAGCAGGCCCTGGGACACACGGCTGAGGAGGCAGCAAAGGATCAGGAAGAACCTTTCCGGGGATCAGTGCCAGGCCATGCCCCTCCACAGGCCTGGAGAAGAGGGCAGAGATGGATAGTGAGCTAAGGCTTATCCTTCCCAATGCAGGCCAAGGGCTAACCTCCAGCCTCAGACCCTCGCAAGGGACTGTGGTGACCTGGGTGACTGCATGTGGTGGGTTCTCAGCCCGGCCCTTGCCAAGGTGTCCCAACCCACAGCCTTTCTCAAGGTGGGGGTAAGGGGTGCAGGGATAAGTGATGGCCAATAGGGACTGGTTAAATGAAATTAGGGAGCCTCTCTAGAACAGAATAGAATGCAGCTGTGAAACATCAGGGTGCTCTTCTCTTTACATGTTGATGTGGAATGATCTCTGTGATAGACACATAGTTATGTGAAAAAGGCAGGGCTACCTGTGTGTAAAAGAAAGAGGGAAGTAAAAAAAAATAGGTATGTTTGCTTATATGCATTTGAAACAGCTTGGAGGGCATATAAGAAATGGATACATGGCCCTGACCGGTCTGGCTCAGTGGATAGAGCGTCGGCCTGCTCTATCCCAGGTTCGATTCCAGTCAAGGGCATGTACCTTGGTTGCGGGCATATCCCCAGTGTGGGGTGTGCAGGAAGCAGCTGATCGATGTTTCTCTCTCATCGATGTTTCTAACTCTCTATCCCTCTCCTTTCCTCTCCGTAAAAAATCAATAAAATATATTTTTAAAAAAAGAAAGAAATGGATACATGGATGGCCCGGGAGGAAGAGAACTGGATGGCTGGGGGTGGGGGTG